AGAGATATGTAGACGTATTGACCCTGATGAGGTCATAGCCTATGGAGCCGCTGTAGAGGTATGTATTGTATGATTACTTGATGGCATAAGAGATACGTAGACGTATTGACCCTGATGAAGTCATAGTGTAGGCCTTTTCAGGGCTCTGCCTCGGGACTAGGTCGAGATGCGTGTATTTTCAAAGGTTTTATTCAACGTGGTTCGTCCAWCAATCACATATTTCCTTCGTAATCGTTTACACGTTCACACGAATATAGATTCACAAAATTACACGATTCGCTGTAGAATCAAAAAGTTATAGTCATCAAAATGTCAATAAACTTCTAACAAACTCAAACAATTACTTACACATTTTTATGRCTGTCCCGAGGGGATTCTAGGACAGTCTCGATCTCCTTCCGTATAACAGTCAACTCTCTCTCTCAACTCCTCACTTTCACTCCCCCCCGCCCTACGAARCAGCCCTTCCCCAGGAAGCCCACGGCCAAATATTATACGTCGCAACACATAGCCTGATGAGGTCATAGCCTGATGAGGCCATAGCCTGATGAGGTCATAGCCTGATGAGGTCATAGCCTGATGAGGTCATAGCCTGATGAGGCCATAGCCTGATGAGGTCATAGCCTGATGAGGTCATAGCCTGATGAGGTCATATCCTGATAAGGTCATAGCCTGATGAGGTCATAGCCTGATAAGGTTATAGCCTGATGAGGTTATAGCCAATGGACACATACGGTACCGTACTGAGAGTACTCGTAGAATTGAAGAGTAATATGTATTGTATTGAACTATCAGTGGAGGTACACCATGCCTATATGTTTAGCTTTATTTGCTCTCGTTTGCAGGCATCTATACTACAAGGACGGAAAGAACAAACAGATTCTCTTTTAGATGAAGTACAATGCATGGCCAAAACTATAAGTGTTTCGGTATGGCCAGATTCGTCTGTCTTTTTTCTCGTGCATGGTGCCTTTTAGATTCTAAATACTTATTGTGTTGATGCATTTCTAGTCCTTTCTTTTATCGTGATTGGGAAGCTTTATGTATCTTTTATTTATGTATCTTGCACCTTACGAGAAAAAAATATCATATGCTTTTATGATATTCTAAAAGAATATGCAAAAGAAAGGCGGTCAATGGCGGTCCCGTCCTTATTCAACTAGAGACGTTTAACAATGACCACGAGTTTATCTGTTGAATAACTTTCAAGTGTCTTCCTCTTTATGTTAATTGTAGTTTGGAAATATGGGTAGTAGATTGAAAGTTGTTTTATTACTAGTTCTTTAATTTTCTTTTCCTTTATAACRTTATCATTCATTGAGTTATTTTCCCGTTTAGGTTGGTGCTGATACTCCAAGACTGATTCCTGTTATTCCCAAATTTTCTCCTTTTCCTTTAAGAAAGACTCACACTTTTACGACCTCACAAGACAACCAGGTAGGCTGAGCAAGAGTGATAGAAAAGATACCACAAAGTACCGTCCGCTAGAGATTAATTTCCAATTAGCCTTTACCCGTTACCGAACTCTGCTGTCTTTTAGGGAGGGAAATGATCTTCGTCAAAAGACACACATACATGTAGGATTACATGTGTCTAAGGCTGCGTTTACACGTACCGGACGAATTTTCAATCGTTCATCATTTTGAACAGTACATACCATTTACTCGGAGCATTCTCTTTACACTGAGCGTTTCCCAATCACGCGCGAAGTCAAACAATTTTCTTTCTCATCAAAATAAGGTTTTAGTGGACGTCAATCAAAGTGTTCTGTGACATTGAAAATAAAAAGTTTTCAAGAGGACGTGCCTATGGAACGTTGTGAAAACGCCTTGATTGACGTCCAAATTTTTTAGTTACTCCCTATTTGTTATTCCCATCGAATTGATTTTTCATGCCTTGATTATGTCACTTCCGTACGCCTCACCTCCGTCCGTGTACACCCCAGGGTTTACACCACAGGCTTAATTTTTTGTTGGTTTCTTATTTGTTTTGCTTTCTTATTTGCTTTGCTTTGTATGCTTGTAATGCATGTTATATATGAATATCACAGGAAAGTGTTTGCTTGTCGGTATATGAAGTAGACGACTCCTTGAAAGGGGAAGAAGTATCAAGCAAAGTTCTTCTTGGCAAGGTATCTGATTCCCTTGAATCAACTTTGGATTAGTTGGATGAGCATTGGACTTTCTTATGATTGGTGGAGAAGGTATCGCACGACTGCTGTTGGCCAATGAGATTCTCCAAGGATACCATTTCAAATCACGACTTTCGACTGCCACCTTTTTTTGTTTTGAATTTGAAAACGGCTTTTTTTTAGGAAAGCTTTGAAGAATTTCCAAATAATAACCTACTAGTCAGTAGTCAGATTTCAGTTCTACTCCAGGAGCAACTAAACAAAACATATTGACCTTACAAAATTGAGGAAGGGACTGAGGCCGTGTGAAAAATATTTATGAAATTAAGAATTGATCCCCATCGCACACACAAAAGAAATTATACTGATATGATTATTATTACAGAGTTTGAACATGCTTGGTTGGATACCTACTGAGTTACAAGCTTTTAAAAATCGCAAAAAAGTTTTAGGGTGGGGATGGGGGGTTGGGCTGCAGTCCTCTTCTCCCCTCCCTATCCCACACACTCAAAAATTAGACAAAATAAAATGCCCCATGTCTCCGGGGGTTTGAGGACACCGTTTAATACTAATCGGGCCACAAATAAACAATATGAGCCTTTCATCATATCCACATCTTAAAGGTTGCTTTATTATAAGCAATACCATGATAATTTTTGTTTGGTTGGTTGACTGACTGAATTTGTCGATCGGTCGGTCGGTTTGTTGGTTGGTTGTCCTAATGATTGGTTGGCCGGTCGGTTGGTTGATTCTTTAGTTGATGGTCGGTCAGACAATAGTTTGGTTGATTGGTTGGTTGGTCGGTCGGTAGGAYGGTTGTTTAGTTGATGGTCGGTCAGACAATAGTTTGGTTGATTGGTTGGTTGGTCGGTCGGTAGGACGGTTGTTTAGTTGGTGGTTGGTTAGACGTTTTTTTTTTCAAGTCATTTTCGTTAGTTGCTTAATTAATCCTACATTTTCGTGTTCTTTCGTTTTTCTTCTCTAATTCTCGTATCTATTATTTCTTATAGATAATTCTGAAAGAGCTCTCTTCCGTGTCAAAAGGAGAACTGAAATTTTCAGTCACGTTCCACGTAAGGAAGTAAGTGCAGAACAATCAAACTAATGATCCTTCGTTAATCCTGGCTTGAAGTGCCTAGTTAAAAAATGATAAAATGATTAGTAGATGTGAGCTGAGCGTTGTGTGCATAGAATATTAAATGTAGTGGTAGTACGTGTGAGCGAAAAGTGTCCCCAATAAGTGCGAAAGCGCTAGAACGACTAGAAACTTAAACGAAAAAGATTTATTTTTTTAATTTTTTATGAGCTACATGGTTTAAGGAAAAATAAATATCAAATGTCTGTTTTGTTTGAAGGGATGGCTCGATGCACGTTCACCTGGTAGAAAGACAGTCCAACAAAGCATCTGATATTACCATAGAAACAAGTTGATATCGTAGCTTTTGTAGGTTTTGTCTGGATCCTTTCCTCGACCGCCTGATCTGTGTTCATAAGAAATAATAAAATTTCACTTTACACGTTGCAAAGTAGCACTATGCCTCTTGTTGGTATTCTTAAGATTACGTAAATTCTTGTCTAGGGTTGAATGATGCTTATGTGTGCGCAGGAGTTGGAACAGTAAATCCTTGTGAAGACAAGACAAAATTAGGTCATCACAGACCAGTTTCAAGGATATTGATTGTCATGTTATAAATCCCAAACGCCTAGCTTGCTTCCTACTTACAACAATATATAAGCTCCAAAATGGCAGCCATTATATTTTCTTTAAATTGTATTTCAGAGCCATGGATTTTTTAATTTTAACTGTTATTTTCCTTTCCGAGGTATTTTACAGTTTATTTATTTATTTATTTATTCAGTTTAAATTAAATAACTATAGTAATTTCCCATAACTCGAGACACTGGAACATCATGAACCTCGAGTACAAGTCAAGTGAGCTTGAGCACTGCTGGAAGTAATTGTAGAATATTTTGTTCAAGCAGTAACAGAAAAATTGCCGAGAAAGCTGAATAGTAAAAGCTCATTGCCCAATGGATTGCCCACTATGCCTTCGAACGGCACATTATATGATAGTACAACGTACTCTCCCGTTCGTTTTTGTCGAGGGGAATTCTTGAATAATTTGCTGTTCTTTTTACTGAAGACGGGGGTGATAGTAATTCAACTYTTACTGACAAATTGCCATGATTTACTATAAGTTTTAGTGAGGCAAACTGTTTAATTATAGAAATGAGTAATAACTGGATTTGGTTTAGTAAAAAAATTATTAGATATAAAAAATAAAAAATCCAAATTTACGAAAACGAATTTGACGAATTTTTGTAAAATGATGTACATATAATTGCAAACTAACGTCATATCCGTCATTTATTACACGTTTATATAAGGTCGATATCAGTGTGATAAAGCCGTGATTGGAAATAAAAACCATATCAGTGAAGTTCACGGCCGAAACAGGAAATTGTAAATTTTGTCATTTTATCTCTCTCGGACTCGAATAAAAACGATATTAGACTCTTAACATGTGATGATCTCTATATACCAAAAAAAACTCAAATTAAGTAAATTGATTTGACTAAACCCTAAAAAATATTTCTGCTGACTTGGCTAACGTCTGACTTTTTGAAAAGCTTGGATAAATAAATATTAAATGAAAAAACGTAAATTAAAAGTAAAAAATCTTTACACGGAAACTTGACTTACTACTGAATCAAAATGTKAATTTGAGCTATTTTTTATTAGTATTCAATACTCTACTTGCGTTGACGTCAATCTGGGGGACAAAACAATTTTTTCACATCTTAAGAGAAGAAAATTTATTGTCTTGACCCCTTGACTCCCCCGAATAGGGAATTAGTGTAAAGGGTTTATTCGGTAAAAATTCCACTGTCACCAGGTTCTGACGTCAGTGATAATAACTGAATAAGTATCATCATCGGCATCATCATCATCAGCAGCAGCACTAGCATCAACTTCAACATGATGATGATGATGATGATGATGATGATGATGATGATTTTCATTGATTATAATCACAGTGCGGATAAGATTTTTTTTCTTAAAAAGTATATTATTTTCGCTTTCTTTCAAAACGTTTCTTGATGCGCTTGTGCTTAATCTTGAATAACCCGAGAACGACCTGGGAATTTACACCGTTTTYTTTTCTTCGCAGATTTCAAATCAGCTTCAAATTTTTTTAATTTTAAAATTGTAACTGAAAAACTATTTCATGGATTATTTTTATAGTGAGCAGTTACCTCGAACCTAAGAATCGCAAACAAAACGCAGCAACAATACAAAAAAAATGTTAAAAGTTGCATTTTTTTAACTTAAAAAAGCAATTATAACCACCAAATATACCGTATATATCTGCCTCTTTATAAATAAACTGTAACGTCAATTTCGAAATGGGGTAAGAGGTTTTGCACCACCACGTGACGGCAGCCATTGTTAGATGGCAGGAACAACACAGTCGTTTTACATAAGAAAGGATTCAATTCCCAAGAGCAGAGGGATTTTATAAGCCTTTTCATAGTTTAAGAATCGATTCCACTGCGCATGCGATTTTATCCCGAATTTCTCACCTTCCTTTGTCTAAACCTTCTTTTGTTCTTAATTAAACAAAAGAAGGTGAGAAATTCGAGATAAAATCGCATGCGCAGTGGAATCGRTTCTTAAACTATGAAAAGGCTTATTGTTGTGCCATCTAACCACAGGAAGCCCAAGCAGTATAATGGGATGGGCACGTGTTGGTGCAAAACCTTTATTAAAGAAATATATTTTATTCAAGTAATAGATTTTTTCGACTTGGTCGTAATTTTTCATTTTCATTTTTTTTTTCATTTCAGTCCACGTATCATTCTCTTGAGAATAAGATTATTCGTTTGTCATAATAAATTGTATCCATATTCATGTGTCTTCTCGTGTGCAACCGTTAAACAATGAAATGATAAGCTAGGGAATGACGCGTGGTCTGACATGGGAAAATATTAGGCCCAAGCCGAAAAGGTCTATCGGGCAGGGCTACAACTAGAGCCAATCAGGGTTTGATAACTTGATGAATAAAATGACATGAAAAGGCAAGGTAGCAGTCATAAATGAAACTCCTTCAGTTAGTCCTCCAGTCTAAACCAACTCTCTTTGAATGAGTTTCATCAGCTGCATATAGGTAGTTCGAAACTCGTTGGTACCAACTTATATCATCCAAGTTTCTTCGGTCGAAGTGTGGATATATACTTGACAATCCAGCAAAAAAAGTAAGTTATGAAGAATAGAATATGTACATAATCCACGACTTGGTGAGCGAGCTTTTTGCAGATGTCGAATGCAGAGGCAATAATCGCTTGCAAGAAACTAATAAATCAGGCACTATATTTTGCGATAACCAATAATAGTTTTAATATTGTCTTGTCTTTGTGCTTCGGTAAAGTTGCTTATGCTACTATATCAAACACCATACCAAGTCACAGGGATCGAAGCGAGCCATGTTTCACCGTAATGCGTGCGCACATGACAAGATTAAGATTTGTAGTCGTGTCAAGAGGCGATGCCTGTAAAAATCAAACAAAATCGATAATCGGCGGCCACATTAAAAAAATCGATTTTGTTGATATTAGGTCTAGATTGAAGATGTGTCTAAATACTACCTAAATAAACTTGCGTACTGATGTTCATTTTGGATAATTTTACTTTTAGTTTGAGAAAATTGATTGAAATATGGTAAAGGAAAGATTGAGCTTTAGATGAATTTATGCTAAAATATGTATAGTGAAGCGCGTTCTAATAATTAAGCGATCAGTAACTATTCATAAGTACATTTTTTCGGGTTCTCAATAATTAAAATTTTACACATAGTTTGCAAAGCGTAGTATTTTAATTTATGTGCAACGGGTACGGTGTCCAGATTTATCTGAAATTCCATCAGCCCTAATACCTTCGAATGATAAAAATAGATATTATCATATGTTAAGATCGATATCATTTTTATCGTTCATCGTTTTTTTTTTTATTCTTCCAAAACAAGCTAGTTCTCGAGAGACGTTAATGAGCTTCGTTCGCGTCCATCCTTATCGTCATTCCAATGTTTTGATAGACAAGCAATGATCATAACAAGCAAGAAGGAAAGCTAATTTTTAACCTAGGTCTTATAGCTCTTAAAGTACTATTTGTAATACTCTTTAAACAGTGAAAATATTTTAAAAATCTGACGAGGGTATCAATTTTCTCAAGGTTGCGTGCGCACCCAACTTAACGGGGAACAARACTAAAAAACGCAAATTCAGTAAAATTGAGAAGACAATTTTAAATTTAAAGAGGAGAATAATCGATTCTTATCAAAAAAATTCCATAACAATGGATAATAATACTTGTGTTCTGGTATCGTGGCCCGTCAAGTTCCTCAAATTTGGATGCGCACGCAACCTTGAGAAAACGGTCTATTACATATTTGATGCATGATTGGAATTGAATTTCACTTAACGTTAAGGCTACAAATCCACATTTTTAGCCCAATAACTATATTTTCTATTTCTAATTCCTAAACACAAATTTTAAATGCTAACGAATCATTTGGTTATTTTCTATAGCTCTTTGAAAAAAGAAAATGTTTTTCAGTAAAATATGGCTTTATTTTGTTTTCATTGTTCGCGCGTTTCTGTACCATAAAAAGTGTGACCTGCCACGCATATTCTGACGCCTAAACGAAGTCGGCGACCCCCATTTCTTTATTTGTTTATTTTACTTCGAGTATGAGGTAATTTCATAATGCAAAATTAATACAAAAAAATCCGACGATGGGACCTTATACGTTGGCGGAGTTACGAGCGGCGTTGGATGTACCGTAAGACTTTTGATGTTTGCTGCTGTTCTTTTACTCTAATTTACCCTAAAGAAAAAGAAAAACAAATCGATAAGGTTTTGCAGATTTATTACTAGACTTTCTCTGTTTATTAAATASGRGACTATTGAGTTTGCCCTTRATTGAAAGGTYGTTATTTTTTGCTGATATTAACGGTGGCTCATAAAGGGCACGTAGCAAGATAAACAAATAACAAGTTAAGGGTAGGGTACTTATTTATGCGAGGGGACTGAAAAATGCTTGCCCATTTGGCTAGATATGCAGTAGCCGCAGTATCATATAAATAGACATTTTACCCTTGTATAGAGAAAAAATACCGAAAATCTAAACCAAGTGAAGCGAAAGGTCTTTTCAGTAAATTGTTCCCAGGCAGCATTTCAATTCAGAAAAACACACTCGATTTTTCTGATCGAGATTGCTTACCTTCTAGTCACTGTTTCTAAAAACAATTGTCCATGCCACACTCAAGAGATGCTTTAATAAATAGGCAATCTTATATGGATACCATGGGATTCGTACCCAACGACATAAAAAAAGGAAATTGATTCTACTGTGCCAAATACCCCGAGACATCAGCAGAGCTGAGGCGTCGTATGGATTCGGTCGGACCTTACAGCAATTAAAGCCTTCTACCCTTGGGTGTATGAATTACGCAAGAAAACGTTCTAGCCCGGAGA